AACTACTTTTTTACGCATTGCATAATGAATTTTAGAATCAATGACGTGTCCTATCCCAGCCCATAAGTTCAACACCTCTGGTCTAGAAAATACGTCCTTTCTAAGCTGATAAAATGTTCCGATAGCTTATCACAAGAGGAAATTGCGACGTGAAAATAGTTTTATTCGAAACGTTTTTGTGGCATATCTTTATTATCTGTTACTGATAAAGAGATGTATCGAATGGTTACGAGATAAGACACAAGCCCGTCTTTTGAGAGAAGTCACGTGGTCTACGTGCTAAACTAATATTATAAATGTGAAAGTTTAGATGGATGTTTGTTTATGTATCTCCAAAATGACTTAACAGATGCTCGCTGAAATTTGTATGTTGAACTGAAGAAAAATTTGACAAAGTTGCGGGCGACAGCTAGTGATTCATGAACGCGTAAAATCTATACTTAAACGTTAGTACTTTTTACTAGGTTAATTGTACTATTTTTAATAAAACGATGGACCATTATTGCTAGCTATCCCACTATTGCCTGAGTGATATCAAGTGGTCTTAGGAAATAGCTTAGATTTGGCATGAGAAAGCTACACCAAAGTACTGCTTAGTTTAGCATTGCTACTTAGTCTAGCTATCTAAATTCGCTTTAAATAAAAACAAGCTATAATTGGTTGGATAAACAAACCATATATTACGAGTTATAAAACAAGTAACATTTTATCTTGCAATATCGAGATAAAAGCAATGCCAAAAATACATCGATAAGTAAAATAACGACACCCTACAATATGTGGAAATACTGTATAGTGTAAATTTACAAGTATTTTTATTAAAAAAATAAGAACAAGGTCTCATATACTTGAGCTAATCGAGTTAGCTGCTTATAAACTTACTCTCAATGTTGTTACTTTTCAACAGTATAATGACACTAGTGGCAAGACCCGGTTTCGCTCGTCTGCATATATTTTTTTTAATCTATACTATTATAATAAAGCGTAAACATACACTTCTTTCTTCATGTTGCCTAAGATGTCAGCAATTACAGCATGTTTTTGAATATTTTTTTATTTATTAAAAAGCCCTACACTTACGACACGCTTTAGACTATATATTTTTACGCCATTAGACTTAGGGGGTAAATATTTTTGCTAAAAACCCTAATGTGGGAAAGAGACCATAAGTTGTTGCCAACATCAAGGAAGCAACGTTGCCATGGTTTCACATCATGTCATGTCGACATTTGCAATTAATAATTTGACACATGTAAACAATAAAATAAAGTTTTTATAATTCCATGCGGATGAAGCCGCATGAGAACAGCTAGTTTATTATAAACATACAAAAAGGATTATTGAATTTTACTACTTTGAGAAGTTAAAAAAAAAACACTATTTATTGACCAAAAGAAAATTAAGAGAACACAACTTACAATTATTAATGAAATAAAAATAAAGACACAAACTCTTGGTCAAAAGGAAAAGGCTCAGCTGATGCGGCCTCCAGCTTGTCACTGAAGGTCGCGCTGGTTTTCAGCCTCCCCTAAACTACTATAACATGGTTCAGTTTACGATACAGGGGGCAGTTGAGATATAATATAAGCCATCATTGCACTTATGTGTGCGTGTGATGAAAAAGATTTGAATCGTGAAATTTTCTTTAAAGTAGAGACAGAAGCAGAAATATAGATGTTAATACAATCAGCTTTAGATAAATGCAACGCAATAACGTCCAATAAATCAGCTAAAACACTTATCTGTGCACAATAAGCTTCTGTAGTTAATTATATCAAGATAAGCTTTATATTTGTCGCGTTATCTTTCTAAATGCAAGCTATGATAACCAATAGTTATAATATCCAAACTTAAACACAAACACATATAATAAGAGTTCCATTTCAATGTATAACTTAGTAGCTTTCGCCCGCGACTCCATCCGCGTGGAATAAAAAAAAACAAAAGCAAGTTGTCTATGTGTTTCCAGACTATCTTCTATTATCTATGCCAAATTTCATCCAGATCCATTTGGCCGTTTAAGCTAGCGCGCTCTATCCTTCGGCCGCGTCTTCACTTAGCTTAAGTGGAGTCGTGGTCAAGCGCTGGTTTATTTATGTTAAAATAAAAGCTACAAACACAAACATCTATCCATCCATCTAAACTTTCGCATTTATAATATTAAAATACAGTAATATTAGATATTACTTCAGTCTTTGTAAACCTTCATACTCACTGGCGATTTTTTATTGCTTGCATTAGCGCTTTTTTAACGCAGTCGTACAAACGTTTACAATTCACTCTTGTTTCCAAAGCAGTGCAATCAAAAAGCCTCACACAAAGAGATGCCGTGTTAAAAAATACGTGGATGTACATTTGTTCTATTTGAACGTTTATTTAACGCGCGTTAAAAACGCGCCTGAGTGGAGGTTAACCGTTAGTTTCCACTGTCCGAAACAAAAGTACCAGAATATGTTGTCATCTCTAATTCTAATTAAAAAGAAACAATACTTTTGTAGCAGAGTTTTGGCAGTGAACATAGACTGGTATAAAATGACATAACTTATTTCGTAGCAGGGTTTCGCGTATCAATTAAAAGGATTAATCTAAACGAGTTTTCGGTCAAGGTGGGCAAGACCTTCATAACGTCGATCTACTTTCGTTTCTGATATATCGATATATTGATAACGAATTTTAATAATTTTCGACAATAGAAACCTACTGTAAGCACAAATGAACTGTTCGTAAATGACAAGTCTTTCGTAAGTCTGCTGAATAGAGAATATGAAGCGTTAAATCTTATAAATAAGAAAAAACTACCTCATATATATTATACTAGCTGTTGCTCGCGACTTCGCATGGATAAAATCAAAAAAGAATGAAAAATATAGCCTATGTCACTCATTGATAACGTAGCTATTTAATGGTAAAATATTTTTTGAAATCGGTCCAGTAGTTTTTATGTGAATCGAATACATACAAAAATACAAAATCTTTTTTCAAATCAATAATATTGGTATAGATAATCTTATATCTTACTAATATTATAAATGCGAAAGTTTAGATGGATGGGTGTTTAGAGTTTATAGCATAAACGATTGAACGGATTTTGATGAAATTTGGCACATATGTAAAGAATGAACTGGAAGAACACATAGGCTACTCACTTGTGTTTTTTTTTGTTTCCACGCGGACGGAGTCGCGGGCGAAAGCTAATATTTACATAAATCGATAGTTGAAAATCGTGACAGAGTGTAAAAAGAAAATATCCATAGGAGTTATTTAACATGGTAAGTATTTAGGTTATCAGAGCGACCGTGCCGCTACGACAAATATGGCGGTTAATATTTGAATAAGCGCGGGAAACGGTCAACGATACGTGATTTATGCACAAAGCATTGTTCATTACAATGGATAGATAGATATGTAAACATGAAGAATCTTACTAGTATTATAAATGCGAAGTATGGATGGATGGATGATTGTTAGAAGGGATATTCATTCATGTCCCAGACATACTAATATCTGGGACATGAATGAACTTTAGTTCAGATGTAAAACACTGTCTGGAATAACAAGAGCTAATTCAGATTTTTTTTAATTCCGCGCATACGGAGTCGTGGGCGAGAGCTAGTTACAGCTAGAGTTAACTATAATTTTTTGGCAAGGCTGATTTTGCAATAATTACCTTGATTTGAGAATTCAATTGTTTACATTATTACTAAGGACTATAAACTCGACTGTTATAAAAATATTATTGAAAGTTTACCAAATAATTCTAAGGGCCAAATTCCTCACTTCATAAGCACCTACAAACTGACAGTCATCAAAACATTAACAGAATTCAGAACTTAAACATGGCCTTATCATTTAAAAAGCTTAGAAATATACACATAAATAAATATAACTTCAGAATTCACCCAATAGTCCTTTACACTTAGGACTTATCTATTCTTGTAAAATGTCAGACAACAATCCAACATAAAAAATATGCGCTGGAAATATCAGATTTTGGTACTCTATCTGACATTGACATCATTTTTAAGCTATCTGAGAATCTACTGGCCAGTGGTGGGAAGGGAAATTTTGACAAATTCATATGGAGATGTTAAACTTTGGACTGATCAGGGGTATTTAAATGGTACATTATATGTGCAATTCACAAGCATCAAGTCTATTGTTATTCGACAACAGCACCATTGTGTATGGTGAAATACTGCTTTGCTTTAACAACACATTCATTTTAACAATAGTAATGTCCAATATGCACCTATGATATGTTTCATATGAACAGGATAAATTTTTTAGGGCTATATGTTTATCAGATAAAAAAACATGTAAAAAACTCAACTACAAGTGGCAATAAAATTTGTTATATAGTAAACCAACAAAAAATGCATGATTATAATGGTTTATTCTGTAAGCTATATTATATTGGTTACTGAAATATCACTTAGGTTGTTTATTTTATACAAAATGGTTACAAAGGGTAAACATAATGTGTCATTCATTATTTATAACACAAAGGTGATTTTTCTTTATTTTTAGACTTTGATATAATTCCAATATGATGTGTCTAAAGCACTGCCTCAATCTTTTAAATAAAATAAATTTAATCTGTATGATAAAAAAGTAATGAAACTATAAAAAATTACTGGCACAAATTTCAACTTCCACATGTGTAAAAAATATACATTTATATTTACGTTTTGATTTTGACGAAAAACATTTTATAAACATTGCACTTTTATTTAAATTTAGGTTACCTGTCATCATTAGCTAATCAAACAAACTTTTCACAACACAATAACCATTATTTTGCCATTTGTCGACGATATAAAAACGTAATATTTGTGCGAATGTACGAACACTTCTGTAACATAATTGAACGCACGTATTGTAATTTATGAATATATGTCGCAGAGGTTAAGTCATATAAATTACTGGCGTTTGACCGATACATCGCTTTTAACATTTCCGAGTTATATTTCTCAAATATTACAACAAAACAAAATCAGTACCTGAAGAGAGATTGCTGTCCGATCCACCAGTCATTTTCCTGGACGACTGAGTTGACAGTATCACTTAGTGCGACAGGCGGCTAGCACACTCTGTCTCTCGAGGCCCAGCACCACGATCCAGGCAGCAATTATAAAAAGAACCCATTTTCAATGTCACGAGAGCTACACGAGGGTAACTTGCGGACAACAACGCTGATGTTCGCACTACGCACTTGCGACGCACGCGCCCTTAGCAATAATATTTAACATTTAATTACCTTCTCCGTCAAGGAAATTCGATTCCCGTTGTTTACGTCCCTCGTTTTCAGCCATGACCAATTTATTTATTTCGAGTTCTGACTTGACTGAACATAGCGACATGCAATTTTTCCAACTCAACGCAGGTTGACAACAGAGAATGAAAAATTAAAAAGACGTGTCATTGTCAAATTCAAATAAGCGTTTACATCAAAATGTCAATTAATTTCATTGTTAGTCTTGAAAAATAGCCTGTGATGATGACCACGACTGATATTTTGCATTATTCTCTCTTTTCTATTATCTTTTCTTTAAATTTTCGCCTAAAACGAAAGATGTTTCAATAGAAAACTGTCAAGCTTAAATAAATTTTTAACCTGTACACTAGTTATAGTCTGTTTGCAATTGTCAGTGTCACCAAGTGTCATTGTCATTTGTCGGATCTGTATTCCAAAGGTGTCAAATTTCCAGAAAACTAAAATTGTATTTATTACACCTTCGATAAAAAAGTCATAAGAAAATAGTAACAAAATGCAGGTATATCATCTATTGAATATCCCGATAAAATACTGCATAACATTCCGTCTAAACTAATAATTTATTTTTAGAACCCTAACGAGGATACAGAATGGAACGATGTCCTACGAGCGAAGGGAATTATTCCTCAAAAGGAGAAAGAAATCTCGGAAGAACAAATTGTGAACATGATCGAGGAGACCATACAAAATAAACAAGCCGAGAGTAAGTATTATGCCACAAAAAATAACAATTACAAACCTTTTTAGGTTATGTGCAACTGGTGTCTTTTAGAACGATTGCTTAATATTTGTTCAGTCTAACGGTATACGGTTACATGTATATTACTTATTTGCTTGAAAATTAATGATAACCACATTATTTTATCTATGTACTATGATTATTTTAATTTTTAACAGATTATTTTGTCCCTTGTGACAGTAGTTGGCACAATAAATGCACATCAATAGTTTACACTTATCTATACAATACAAATTCCTTACATATTATTGGGGTTACAAAAAAAATAACTGTTTTGAACATTTCTTTGCAGAAGAGAAACAACTATCAGAACTGGACTTAGATGGCTTAGATGAGCTAGAGGATGATGAAGACGAAGCTGTACTACTGGAGTACCGCAGGCGGAGGATAGCTGAAATGAAGAGATTGGCAGAAAAGCCGAGATTTGGTGATGTGAGAGAGGTCTCAGGACAGGATTATGTTCAAGAGGTGAATAAAGCTGGTGAAGGCATTTGGGTTGTTATACATCTGTATAAACAAGGGTAAATAAGATGTTTGTTACTATGTATCTCTGAAATGACTAGGAATAGAATTTGAGGGCTTTGACCCAGATGTAGATAACCTGCAAGAATGCATAGAGTTTAATTTGTTTTTTATTTAACTCTGCATAGACTAAGATAAAGATTAAGTTGCAGGCAAAAGCTAGTTAATCATTAAATATACATTTTCATTAATTTACTAACATAAGAAATAATATGTTTATATTGTTTTGTTTTGAAGTGGTTATTTACTCTCAATGTGCTTTATTTTTTTAGTTTTATGCATCAATGCTTATTAAATGTTAGTATTATTTTTACCTTATACATTAATGTTGATATATGACTCATTATTACAGCATACAAGAATGTGCCCTCCTAAATCAGCATATGCGTGAACTGGCCATAAAGTTCCCATATACCAAGTTCCTGAAGGCAATGGCACAGACTTGCATCCCCAACTACCCGGAGAGGAACCTGCCCAGTGTGTTTGTGTACTTTGAGGGTGATATGATGAAGCAGTTTGTGGGACCACTAGAATTGAGAGGAACTGCTTTGACTTGTGATGGTATGTACAGTTATAATCTGGTTATGTTAAGTGACTGAAGACCCATGAGTTTAAATATTTTAGGAGGCGCACACCTTTGACTAAACTATCGCCCAACTGTTTGATTTGTATGACCTTATATAGAGGTGTACACACTACTCGATTTTTAGTTGTGAAACTACACAGTGACATTGGCAGAAAAACAATCAACAATTGCACAAAGAGTTATCATAGTTTATTCAAAGTTTGCATCCCTCTAAAGCTAGAGTTGCCAAAACTCTTTCCTCATGTACCCCTTTCGTAACTTAACAGATTTAAGTGGACCCCTATTTATTTTACACCCATTGTTGACCCTCTCTCCTACGTCTACCTGAACCTCTTTGAGATTCACTGGCCTAGAGTCTAATTAAATGGTTTTTATCTTTTTTAACCTTGCTGTTCTTTACTAAGGTGTTTATGTCCCTCAATTTATTAAGGAAAAAAATAAGGTGTTTATAAACATTTTTTAAATACAGAATTGGAGTTCATTTTGGGTCAAGTTGGAGCTGTTGATACGAAAATCAAAGAAGACCCAAAACCTAAGATAAAGGACAAAATGCTGACAGACCTGGGCTGCAATGATTGGTGACAGTCTGCTGAAGGTTGAGTTGGTGCAATAGACTTTTTATTTGGTGTGAGGATATTTGCTTATTGCATTTCTTATTTATTTTAGTTATAGTATTTTATTAAAAAAGGAATTCTCTTTTTATTGAGTTTTAGTAATAAGTAAAGATGTAATTACACAATCTATGTTAAGCATTTATTTCAATTATTGTAACTTGTGTTATCTTTGATGGAACATGATGAAAATAAAAGCCTTTAATTTTGTAATAGCAATTTTATTTATTTAAATTTTTAACATTTACTGAATTGTACTTATATTTACATAATTACCAGTATTTTACAATGCCTTACAAATAATGTGTTTTTAAATATGAAGAACCTCATTTTACTCTAATAATTGAGCTTAAAATTCTATACCAATATAAATGTTTTATAATAAAAACAATGTTTTATAATTATTCGTTTTATTTTGGGCCTATTTGAATTAATACAATACAAATTTTAAGATTAAAGTATTTACAATAACATCTAGGTATCTATGATACTAAAACATTACTATAAAATAAATTTTCTTATTTCAGAAGACAGTTTTTACACTAATAAATCAACAGAAAACACTCCACAATTCAGTTTATATACACAACACTAAGTAAATTCATTGTCAAACAGTTCCATCCTGGTCCTTCGAGTCGGATATCACTATTTTTTGCCCGTATTTAGACAGGCAAACGGTTTTTTCAGCAACCTCTTTGTAAATTGATGGCGGCGACACACCGCGCGATGCAGACGTCGACTGGCAGCCGCGAGCGCATGCCTAGCTCGAACACCCGCGCCAGGATGCGCCCCGCGTGCTCCTGCACTCCCACTATCAGCTCAGACATCTTATCCAGTGCGGACTGAGCCACTTCAGGCTGATTTGAGTCTAGACATTCCATTATAGCTTGTAGACCTGAGGAAAAAATATTTTCACGTCAAAAGATGTATTCAAATTTGCAATACGCATCTATCTTACTAATATTATAAATGCGAAAGTTTAGATGGATGGATGTTTGTTAATTTTTGTAGCCTAAACGGCTAAATGGATCTCGATGAAATTTGGCGTAGATTTAGAGGATAGTCTGGAAGGACACATAGGCTATTAACTTTTGTATTTTTTAATACCACGCAGACGGAGTCGCGGGCGAAAGCTAGTTAACAATAATTTTAATTCATCTTTAATATTAAAAAGTTTAGTGTTTGACTTCGCTCGTATGGGAATAAATAAAAACATAGTAAGTAGACCATTCCTCCACACTATGTATGTTTTGAACATAGGTAACAAACATCCATCCATTCATTTAAACTCTTACTTATAGTGTTTTTATTAACAATTTTTTTTCCCTTCGCGTTTCTATAAATAGTAAAATAGGAGGGAGACCTGGTGTGGAGTCCGGCACGGCGGGCAGCACCTTGGCGAGCAGCGAGAGCGCGGCGGTGCGCAGCGCGGCGTGCGGCGAGGCGGCCAGCGGCGCCGCCGCGCGCACCACCGCCTGCGCCGCGCCGCGCCCGCCCCACGCGCCGCCGCGCCGCACGCCCCACGCCTCTATCTCCTGCACACGCACGCACATACACATTACAACATACATCTTATTGTTATAAGGATTACGCAACAAAGAAGAAAAGAAAAGAAAAACAAACCGTGCAAAAAAGAGTACAGACCAAGAGTCTGTAAAAGTTGATATATAAAAAAACATACCATACAACTACGCGGGAATATCGCTTAAATTTAATTTTTACGTTTTGGGTTCAATAAAAAAAAATAGACAAAAAAATATATTATGTCTACTGTTGTACTGTTGTTTGTTGTTGTTATTTTTATATGTATGTCGTGTAAACCTATAACACACTTCTAAAAAAGTATTTTTGTTTATTATTTTTTTTCATTTTTTTACACTTTTTCTCTTTCATCTTATTTTTTTGACCCGTGTTTGGGTGAAGGCCTAATACCTACGTTAATTACGTTGTTACAATATTAACCTGTACATGTACAGCCAGTTCATCCGGAGGCGCGACGCGTCGCTGCAGCGCCAGCACGGCCTGCGGGGGCGGCAGCGCGGACGCGGGCGCGCCCATCTCGCCCGTGCACGCGCCAACTAGCCCCGGCATCATACTGAAACACATTTTAAAATATCTTTAGTGTTTGTAAACAATTTTATAAGATCCTAATCATATTAAAACTTTCGTGAGACATAATACAATATGTGAGACAGTTTCGAACCCGTTGGGGGTCCTTCAGGACCTGTCGGTGCCTACACCGAATGTTATCACTTGAGTTTAGCTTTGTTATAATTTATATAAGATCCTTATCAATGTAATATGAAACATTCAGCTGATGCCATGCGTCCTCATCTGCTGAAGTATTTCGTTCCCTCGTGACATTTTATTTTCGATTTATTCAGACTCTAAATTAAATTTATAGACTAGATTATGCAGTTTTTGCTAACATATTACATAACAAAATATTCATGCTTTATTATCTTACTACTAGTATATATGCGAAAGTTTAGATGGATGGATGTTTGTTGGCGTTTGAAGCCTAAACGATTGAACGGATCTCCATGAAACTTGGCACAGGTTTAGAGCATAGTCTGGAAGAATACATAGGCTACTTTTTATCCCGGGAATAGCTACGGTTCTCGTAGGATTCTTTAATTTAGTATTTGTATAAATCAAGAACATAGGAAACATTTTTTTCATCGGTTACTTCTCAGTTTTAAAATTGTTTATTTGTGATTTCACTATCAGACACCAGGCGGCGCTAGTGATTAAGTAAAAGTGTTTCAAGTAAAGTGGCAACTATTTTCTTTATATTTTTTGAATCTCTTTGGTGTAAACACAGATAGGAAGCTAAATCCGGTAACTTTAAGTAGTTGGTCCTTCGAGTCGGATAGTATAATGGTGGTATACTAACGCGATGGTGTCCCTGTGCGCGTGCAGCAGGGCGGCGGCGCGCTGCGGGCGCGCGGCGGCGTAGCGGCGCATGAGGCCCGCCACGCGCTGCGCCAGCGCCCCCGCCTCGCCTTGCCGCATTATGTGCAGGAAGCACTCCAGTATCTCGTACAACTCGTCACTGCAAACCATAATAAATATATCATGTGTAGTAAATATATACATATTAGTTGTCTCTCGCGACTTTGCCCAGGTCAAATTTAAAAACAGTCCATGGTACTAAGTGACAACATAGCTATGCTGAAATCGACCAGTTTTTCAGTTATTTCGATACATACAAAAATACAAACCTTTCCTCTTTATTATAATTATCATTTTGTATTTAATTACTGCATGTTATGTTTATTTTTTGTACACCATTTAAAAGCTACGGTATTATTGAGTACTTTATATTTTTTTTACTTAATTTCACGCGGACAAAGTCGCGAGTAACAGCACGTACAAATATTTTCTTTTATTAAGCGGCTCTGTGCCACGCTTTCGTACCCCTAAAACGAGGTTTAGAGATTTTTTGAGCTGAGTGTTATATTTTTTTATTTTTTCCCATTACTGTTACTTTGTTACCTGTCTTGCGAGAAGAGGTCAGCGTCGGGCAGCACCTCGAGCGCTGCGAGCAGGTGCGCGTGCGGCGGCGTGCGGCAGGGCTCCGCGCGCACGCCGCGCAGCAGCGCCCCGCACAGCGGCAGCGCGCGGCTGCCCGCGCCGCGCACGCGGCACCACAGCGCACGCGCGAGCGACTCTATACGCCAAGCTCTGTTCAAATACAACTATATCTTAGTAAAGATTTTTAAAAAAATAGTTGAGTTCCAATATAGATTAGAACTGATTTAAAAAAAACCAAGCGGACAGAGTCGATGCCGTAAGCTAGTTTTACAATTAAAACAATCTTTATTGGACAAAAACATTTACATAAATTAGCGGTGTCATCTAGGTGTGAACTAGGTTTAGCTATTTTTTTTTTATTTCTTTATCAAACAAAAGTGTGTTTATCCAGACACTGGGTACTTCACAATAAAATATAACAGTCTAACAAAGATTGATTTCGACGATTTTAGTTATAATTATTGACAATTTGTAATCAATTCATTATTCAAATTCCTAAAATTTCCAGGCATAACGACGACCAGTTAGAAATCAGTTTATCGGACTGTTAATGAACCACCAAAACCCGTTTGAAATGATCTAATATGGATTGGCACGTTGGGTAGAACATCGGTCATATTAACGACGTGCCAACTAAGAGTTGAATGGTACCTCTGGGCGAGATCTTTGGAGTGTGTATGCGTGGCCGCGAGCGCGGTAAGCAGCGCGTGAGACACGCGGTCAGTGGCGCAGGTTGAGGCGCGCGCGGCTCGCACCGCCTCACCCCCAACACCCCCAGCACCCCCAGCCAGCTCCTCCAGCGACTGCAGCGCACCCCCGACTGCGCGGTCTTCACTTTCCCTCATAAGTTGCACTATCTTCGGCACCTGCATACAAAATAAATTAGCTAACGCCCTGTCAACGTCAAAATTGTCACATCATTTTCATACTAATCATACTAATGTTATAAATGCGAAAGTTTAGATGGATGGATGTTTGTTAGAGTTAGTAGCCTAAACGGCTGAACGGATCTAGATGAAATTTGGCAGAGATCTAGAATATGGAGCATAGTCTGGAAGAACACTTTTGTTTTTTTTTTAACTCCAAGCGGACGGAGTCGCGGGTGACAGCTAGTACCTTCATATACAACAGTAGGAGCAGCAGGGGGTGGTCCCGCGCGGCTGCCAGCGCGGCGGCGAGCAGCGCGTGCGGGGCGCCGCAGCAGCGCAGCACCAGCGGCAGCCGCGCCTCCGCCAGCCGCCGCGCAGACTCCGCGTCCGCCGCCGCGCCCTCCGCACCCACGTACCCAATCAGCACCTCCAACTGGACATTACAACCTTTATTCAGAGATTCAGGGAGAGAAAGAAATATAAACTACAAATACAACAAGGTTGCTGCAAAAAACATAGCAGCAGGAAAGAAAGAAAATATTAAAAAAACCTTTATTCAGATTCTGGACGGATTACAAAAATTAAATAAAAATCTATACATCATACAAAAAAAAACAAAAATATCCAATCACCAGTAATCTTTTCCACGCCCAATAGATTTTTTTTCTTTAATTTTCCCTTAATCTATGTTTTATTTACTACCAGTTTCAATTTAGGGTATATAAAATGAAAAAATCTTGCATTTAAGGGTTAAAAAGCTACGTTATCAATGTGTAACATAGGTTATATATTTTAAAATGTTTAACTTAAAGCGAAGTCGCGGGCAACAGCTATATTTAGATATAGGTTTATATTATATTACGGAGTGAGATGTAGGTTTCTTTTAGCTATTTGTTGTTATTTGTACCTGTTTGTGTGTGAGCCGCAGCGTGTCCTCGTGCTCGTAGTGTTTGGGCGTGGCGCGGTCGCGGCCTTGCCACACGCGCGGACTGCCCGACAGCGTCGCCGCGAAGTCCAGCACCGCGCTCGCTGACCAACCGCTAAACACAAACAAGACAAATATAAAAACGGATAACTATAATATTCGAATGAATGTGGATGGCACAAAGGAAGAGGAAGACCAAAGGAAGTATGGTTGGATTGTGGGAAAGAGGATATGTTTAAGAAAGGAGTGGTTTCAGATATGACGGCTGATAGAGATGTATGGAAGCAGCACTGTGCCGACCCTCCGTAAGGGATAAGGGCAAGTTGATGATGAACTACAATATTCGAAAAAAAAATTGCTATAAGATAAAACAGCAAAAAAATCTGTATTTTTTTTATGTATATCAGTCTGTACTGATAACTTCCTTTTTTTTGGGAAGTTGGTTAAAAACTACAATCTACCAAAAGGATTAAACACAGCATATGCAAAACAATATTTTTTGGTGATTTTCAGCCAGTTCCTAAAACCTGCAACACACCTTCAGTTTCGACTAAACAGTATAGTTCAGTTTTAACTGAAGGTATGTATGTATTGTGGGCTTTAGCACTCACTTTGTAGCATAAACAACTAAACGGATCTTTATGAAATTTGCCATAATCTAAAAAAAAGGTAATTACTGTTTTTTATTCCACGTGGACGGAGTCACAGACAAAAGCTAGTTAGATAAAAATTATAAAAACGGAAGATGTTAGTAGGACATTATACCCTTGAGGCTCCAACAATGTGGTGAGGCAGGAGTGCAGGGTCTTCCAGGAGGCGCGGTGAGCCAGCAGCGTGACCAACAATGGCCGCCAGGGGGCGCCGCCAGCGACAAACATCAATTTCATCTGCAAACATACATATAAATAGATGATAGATATTTCCCTTTACTACACAAATAACCCGTATTTCCTTCCGGTAAACACATTCACAATAAAAAATATCAAGCAGCTTTAAAGTTTGTATGCGATATACCTGTCTGCCAAGGGTCTCTCGCTGCAGTTCAGCAAGCCAGTCCAGCAGCAGGCCGCAGCCCAGTCCGCGGCGTGAGAACACGTGCGCACCCTCCTCCTCCTCCTCCAGAGTTTCGCACTTCACCTACATAAATATACAAAAACTAATGTCCATCTCTTTTGTTATCAAAGATGTTTTTAGGTAAATTATGTAACAGCGTACAACTTAAACGACTGAACAAATTTTGACGAATGAGGTGTCATTCAATTCGTCTTGTTCCCTAGCGTGTTATAGGATATATTACTTTGGTACAAAACTCCTACAGTGGAAATGAGAATTGAAATTCTAAAAACATATTTAAAAAAAATTCACTTCAATTTTTACGCCATCACTTTTTCTCATTTCCTAATTTTTTTTTTCAATATTTTTGAATATACTTGTCGCGCCCGCGACTCCTTCCGCGTGGAATTAGAAAAATCTAAAGTGAGTAAACTATGTGTTCTTCAATATTATCCTCTACGTCTATGCCAAATTTCATCGAGATCCGTTCAGCCGTTTAGGCTACATACTATAAGAAACATCCATCCATTCATATAAACTTTCGCATTTATATTAGTAAGATTAGAATTAGTCTGTCGGATATTTTGTGTTTTTTTTTTTATTGAGGTTGGTAAGTTGCGCTTGCGGTCGCTACATTACCTTAGTTTCGTAATGTCCTTCTTGGCTCTTCTCCAGCAGTATGGAGATGACTTCCACCACCATCTGGGTGTCCTGCGTCTCTATTATGTGGTTACCGACCGCTTCTAACGTCCTGGGTGTGGTTGCTTCAAGTGCTACATATGTACGAGAAAAGCATATTTTTTAATTAATCGTTGGGGACTTCATAGGTTTAGTAGTACAATCGGGGAATCTGTCAATATAACCAATAGGACGCCTTTAACACATTTATACGAAAAATAGTTGGTTGGTATTTACTAATTATTTTTTATTATCCCGTCGTTGTAACTCTTTGTAAGGAGTTTATCTCGTTGCAAGTAAAAAGGTAATTTTTATAGTTAACTGCGGATGTTCACGACTGTACCTGCGACGAGGTGTTCTTTGGTTGCGTTGTGCGGCAGTTGCGGGGCGAGGGCCTCGGGTTTCGCCCCCGACGCCGCCGCCGCCGCTTGCAGCAGCTCCGATACCGCTCCCGACACACACTTGCCCGTCGACAGCAAAGATCGTGCTATCTAAACACAGCATAAGACAATAAGTTCAAATAATTATAGTTGTAAGTAAATAAGATCCAGCGGAAAAAATATATTTGTATCATATTTATCTTCATCTGTGGTACACTTTTCTTAACATTATAAGATGGTAACATAGTAAGCGGCTGCCCATAGACATTTCTGTCAGAGGAGTTGACGCACAGAAGAATAAAATTTCTCTCCCTATGCGTTCCCGTCCCTTTCACCAACAAATACACTTTCCCTTCCCATCCTTTCCTTACAAGATATAATGGGAAGGGAAAGTGGTCTAAAATGAAGTCTCCAACCATACCTATCAGAGTGTATGCGGAGTGTGTTCCAGTGGGTGTGTCTCCTATGTGTGGTATTCCAAGTTAACAGCACATTTCTCAGATGTTTCTGATATCTAGTATAGTTAGTATAAATGTACCTCGGGCAGTGCGCGCGGGCGGGCGGCGTGCAGCGTGCGCAGCAGCACGGCGGCGTGCGCGGGGCGGCGCGCCAGTGCGTGCGGCGCCACGCCCCGCAGGAACCCGCACGCGGACCTCGTGTACGGGCCCTCCTCGCCGCGGCTGCCCTCCTCCGCTATAAACTGATAATAAATCTCGATAAACATTACATTCAAAATACATACTAATATTCTCCCGCGACTTCGTGAGTCTATATCAATGTTATCCTGCGACATCAATCAACATTTCCGGGATTATCATCTATATTTTCTTAGTGTTGTAAAGAACGGCTGCTGCGCCAGCTGTCAATGTGACACGGATGTCAATAAACCAGTTTGCACTAAGCTAGCGGTCGTATCATTGCTCCCTATATCCTTACGATAAAACTTACGATTATTCTATATGTATACCAAAGAACTTGTAAAAAAATGGCGTTTTTTTTGTGTTAATCAAAAACATTAGTAGATTTTTGTTAATTTACTTATATTTTTTAACTATTCCAACTAAGCTCTAGGATATGGTTCACAATAGTCGAATAGCGGGATTCGAACCCTCGACCTCAAGATCGGTAGTCTGTACTCCAAATCATTAGGCTATTGGCGCTTAATTCCATTCATACATCTAAACATTCTCAATTATAAAATCAGAAAGAAGCATTTTTAAATACAATGTGAAACTATATGTATATCTTACTGCAATTAGTTGTGTGCATGCAGTATCGACGTCGAAGTGACAGTCCTGTGCGTCGAAGACTGCAGCCAGCAGCCCTGCCACTAGCTCAGGCTCGAGCCGCGGCGTGGCGGAGACTCCGCCCCCGGCCCAGCCCCCCATGTCCCATATTGACTCCGTCTCCTCGGGCAGCACCTCCTCCGCGAACTGAGTGTCGTCTGAACAGAATACATTGTCATTGTTATTGTTATAAATTAAACAAAAATATATAATTTTAAAATAACTCTTATTCCGTTGGCATATCACTCAAAATTCAATATTGCGCGATATAAGTGTCGCATTTTAAAATTACTGCATTTTGTACGTGTCCCAGGCTGAATGGCAGTTCTAATATAGCCTTTGACCAATGAATTCGGTAAGCATTAAGGTAGGCCGTAGTTGAACCGCCCAGGGCAGAAGTTAAGGGCGTTACGTTCAGATAACCGTGTTAATCGTTCTCGCCCTCCACCCAGGGCGTTGTAATCACTAATGCCGGTAGTCAATGAAGTGGTACCGGGTGGTAGATGTGGCGGCTGCAGCCCTAGGGCCGCAGCGAAAGCCGCGCCGCCGGTAGCGCCGCGCGCGCGCTGCACCGTCAGCAGCTGCGCCATGTAGCCGCGCTCCACGCCCAGCCGCACCACAGCACCCGCGGGGCACGCGTCCAGCGCACCCAGTAAAGCACTGAAACAATCACATATATTCAAATTAAATTGGGAAATAACCGTGTGACTGAATTAAATCCATCACCAAACAATTAAAATCTTAGTAATATTATAAGTGCGCTAAAGGTTAGATGGATGTTAGATGGTATATCGGGAACATTACTATTAACAACTACAATTTTTAAAGAATTGTTTAAACCTTCGCGAGACATTATCATAACCAACAATATTTTGCCTGCGACTCCGTTCGAGTGAAATTTAAAAAAAAAGAGAGTAGCCTATGTGTTATTCCAGACTATTCTCTACACCAACACAAAATGTTGTTGGCTGAAGCCGTTTAGGGTACAAGTTTAAAAGGAATTTTACGGTTTAAAATTATAAAACTTGTATCTCAAGAGCTACAATACAAAAACAAACTAATGCATAAAATAGTACTAACCTCATGGAGGCGACGGGCATTCCGAAGGTCTGTATGAAGAGTGCTAGCTTGTGGGCGGGCAGCGCGCGCAGCCCCGCCTCCAGCAGGGGCGGGCGCGCCGAGCGCACCAGGTGCAGCCGCAGCCAGTCGGGCAGCAGCGTCTCCCCCGCGCCCGCCCCCGCCGCACCTAACGCCCCGCCCTCCCCGCCCACCCACATCGTCTGCAGCCACAAGTACATCTCCTGGTTCGTGTCATCTGACAACACAACACCCAGAATCAATTTTTAACATTCACAGTATCTTAAAGGACATTTACCAACTAATTTTAATTTAATTATAGATGTATACAAATATTATAAAGAGGAAAGATTTGTTTTTTGTATGTATTGAAATAACTCAATAACTACTGGTCCAATTTCAAAAAATTCGTTATCAGTAAGAAACATAGGCTATATTTTTATTATTATAATTTCATGCAGACGACGCCATTAACAGCTATTTTATTGAGCTAGCGCGTATCTATCCTTCGACCGCGTCTTCACTTAGCTTAGGTGGAATCGAGGTCAAGCGCTGGTTTATTTATGTTTAAAAAAAACAGCTATTTGAAAACATGGATGTAGTTACAGATGGAAGGTCCGTAGCAGAGGAGCTTGAGATGTGCGTGGACGAGCACGACGTGCAGACGCGCGCGCCGCCCGCCCGACCACTGCAGCAGCACGCGCTCGCCGCCGCCCCACCCCTCGCCGCCCTCCTCCACGCCCTCCGGCTCCTCCTCCTCCTCATCCACACCACTGCGGATACACTGAAACACGTCCATTAGTACACTGATATCTTTTTACTATAACTAAATGAATACTGCACTGATTTATTGTTTTTACTATCGTTTTATTTGGGGATCAAACATACACAACAAACTGGAATATGATTTTAGATCGTTTTGAAGTTTATATTATAGCATACTAGCTTTCGCCCGCAACTCCGTCCGCGTGGCATTGAAAAAAACAAAAGTAAATAGCCTATGTGTTCTTCCAGAGAAAACTGTTCAGCCGTTTAGGCTACAAACTCTAACAAACATCCATCCATCTAAACTTTCACATTTATAATATTGACCAACAATTTTTAATAGCGGCCGCACTCCTATGACTAAACAATCAAACAACTGTTGTGCGATTGTCGATTGTTTTCAGCCTTCAACTGTTTGCACAACTAAAAATCGCAGTAGTGTAACCTCCATATAAGCTGATACAAATCAAAGCGCGACTAAACGGTTGTGCGATAATTTAGTCAAAAGTTTGACGCTTTTAAATACACAAATGCCTCGAAAAGAGTACAAAAGATACATAGATTAGTTACTTGTCTAAGATGCGCGTGCAGTATGCGTGTGAGGGAGTGCAGCGCGCGGTGCTGGTGCTGACTGGCGCCAGCGGCCTCGCGACTGTCCACTGGCGGCAGCACGCAGTGCGTCACTGTCGTGCGTTCCATCAGCACTTGACTCAAATCCTGAATAACGTTACACAAATTAATACATAGAAATCGCAAATTGTTAAACTGGAGATATCAACTTAAACGTTCCAAACCAAGACGAAATATCAATGAGTTTTAGCGTTTTTGTTTAAAACTAGCTGTTTTCGTGTGGCATCATGCGCAAGAAATTATAAAAAAAAAGATTGTTCACATTTGTCAAATTCTTAAATGTTGATTTTCAAATGCACAAATGGCCTTTGTCATTGAAAAAAAAAGACAATTACCGTTACCACGGCAACCTTACTCAAAGTAAGGTTGTAATTTTTGTCCCTTTCCAGCATGAGGGGTTTTCCAAATTACCTACTCCCTAAATTTAATACTGTGGAATTAACCTAGAGCGTGTCGTAAGTGTAGGGTTTTTTTTTAATTAAAAAAGGAATTATTCAAAAATATACTGCGATTGTTGACATCTTAAGTGACTATGTATGGAAGTTTTCGCTTTATTATATTAGTATAGAAGTATAGATATATATTTCGTGTATAGATTAGTATAATAATAATTCGCTAGAGACCTCAAGAAGCTCTCGCTAGACACCTCAAGAAGCTCTCGCTAGAGACCTCAAGAAGCTCTCGCTAGACACCTCAAGAAGCTCTCGCTAGAGACCTCAAGAAGCTCTCGCTAGAGACCTCAAGAAGCTCTCGCTGGAGACCTCAAGAAGTTCTCGCTAGACAGTTGGATTAAGGGCCCGATCCAAAAGGCGGTTATTTTAGAAACCGCACGCATAGTGAGGAGGTTCCTGTCTCTGCAGCCCTGACCACTGGTTGCTTGAGGGGGTAAAAACGCTTATGTTCTGCAAACTTATACTTACTAGTACAATATCAGTATGGTCCAGTTCTGGAGTACCATCGACGTGGTCGGCGAGGAAGGCGAGGTATGCGGCGAGGTGTGTCGGCGCGCACTCCACGAGGCAGGCGGCCCGCACGCGCGCCACCGCCTCCCCGCGCACCGCGCCCCAGTGCCGCAGCTGCCACAGCAGCCCTAGCCACTCCCTACACACATACATACAAACAAATATGATTAACTAGCTTCCGCCCGCGACTCCGTCCGCGTGGAATTAAAAAAACAAAAATGTATAGCCTATGTGACAAATGGATAAAGTTAAGAATGTGTATATTAGAGGAAGTTTGAAAGTAGCGCCCGTGGTGAAGAAATTGAGAAGCAAAAGGTTAGCGTGGTATGGACATGTTATGAGACGAGACGATGGGGATGGCTATAAAGGAAGAGGAAGACAAAAGAAAGTATGGATGGATTGTGTGAAAGAGGATATGCTTAAGAAAGGAGTGGATTTAGATATGACGGCTGATAGAGATGTATGGGAGAGCAGCACATACTGTGCCGACCCTAAGGGATAAGGGCAAGTTGATGAAGAAAAGTGTATAGCCTATGTGATCTTCCCGACTATCCTCTACATCTATACCAAATTTAATCGAAATCTGTTCAACCGTTTAGACTGCAAACTTTAACAAACATCCATCCATCTAAACTTTTGCATTTATAATATTAGTAAGAAGTAAGATCACAAAGTTTATATGGATGGATATTTGGTATAGATGTGGAGGGTAGTCTGGAAGAACACAGGCTAATCACTTTTTAGTTCGACGTGGGTGGAGTCGCGGTCGAATGATACATACTATTTAAGTTATTATTTTATGAAGTATTTTAAAATAAAAAAATAGACTCACTCGGGACTAACATCCGCATTGTAGTCCATCTCCACTGTGTCTTCAGATTGCGATAGAACTAGTTTGAGGCCCTGCGAGATTTCATACAATATTTAAAAATCACAATTTTTAATACAGCAAAGAAACATTTAGCGGACATAACTCGGAAATAACTTCACTTAACATCTTTTTTTTTGACCGACTTTCCGAAAGAAGGAGGTACTCGATTCGTCTGTATGTTTTTATATGTGTGTTACGGCATAACTTCGCCGATTTTGATGATTCTTTTTTGTATGAGTATTGTGGAGCAGCTAATGCTGTTAAGGATTCTGCCACGATAGCATGTATGACTTGCCCTGTTAGCGGCAGCTCGCGTGTGTTTGTGCGAGTGTGCGAGACGCTGCATGTAGTAGTGCAGTACAGCGCGCGCGCCCTCCTCGCTGGCCAGCGTGCGGCGCAGGTGTGCGCACAGCTCGCCCGCCTTGCCCGCCTCGCCCGCCCCGCCCCCGGCCCCGCCCCCAGCACCGCCCGCTGACAGGAACTCGCACAGGCATTGCACAGGCAACACACTACAGAAAGATATACACCATTTATTAAAATACGAGCTGTTGCGTGCGGTTTAATCCGCATAAAATTACAAAAACTTTTTTTATTGTTGAATTTCGTGAAATACTCAATTGAAAATGTCAAAATCCAAATGCACAAATGATAACGAAGGCAAAATTGTATAACATTTACCGTTACCATGGCAACCATAATTCCTTGATATAGTTAGCTTGTTGATTTGTGCCAAGTTGTTTGTATTCAAGTATAGAAAATGAATTCGCCAAGGAGAGTCAATGGTTCTTACCCTATTATTTTTTTAATTACTAACCATTGTTATATTCAGTTAAGAGTAAAGGAATGGGAAGACACAAACCTGAGTTCAAGCTGGTCATGCTTGAGCAGCTGGTGCAGCCAGGGCATGGCGCGGCGCGTGCCGTGGCGCTCCACCAGCTGCAGCAGCAGCGCGGGCTGGCGGCACAGCAGCCGGCCCAGCCGCAGCTGCGTGCTCAGCGCCGCCAGCGCCTCCGCCACGCCGTTCGGCGGCCGCCGCGCCGGCCCCAGCGCGTCCAGCACTGATAACTGTCACCAGAACAACCAATATTCAAATATCTTCTTCAAATATCCACTTCATTTAACCTTAGATAGATGGATCGATGGATGGATGGATTTGTAGCCTAAACGGCTCAACGGATTTGGATGAAATTTGGCATAGATGTAGAGCAAAGTATGGAAGAACACATTAGCTACTTGCTTATGTTTTTTTTAATACCACGCGGACGGAGTCGTGGGCGAAAGCTAGTATGTATGTAAGGTGTAAACATCGCGCAATACATGTTTTCCCGCATAACGCACGCGTCGATCATACTAAATCAGTACACGTTGAATCACTACCACGTTCGCGTGTGCTCACCACCATACATCGCCGTAGTTATAGGAATAAATTACAACATTCTCTTTTAATTACGGTGTTTTATTTCGTATGTACGGATACACCATACATCTTGGTCCTTCGAGCCGGATTTGAACCAGCGACCTATGGATCCGTACAATGTATGAAAAAGTTAATCATTAATAATATTAAATGACTTTGTTTAGATCCGTTCATCCTTTCAGCTGTAGTTTGCAATGGAATTGACATACATACATACAGAGTCATACATTTGGAGGTTATGTGTATATGGGCGCAAATCGCCTAGTACCAAAAATACTATTTCGATTTATCATTGTAACTTTATTATAGAATATAGGCAATAAATGTGATTCAAATTATACTGTTATTTATAAAAGAAATGTTCACTAATTTAATATGCAGCAGACACTGTGTTGACTATTTTAAAATGTTAAATGTTTAATATGCTGTTTAAATTATTAATTTACTGTATGAATATTCAAATTAAAATAGATTACTTTATTCTGAATTAAAGTTGATTATTTGCATTTAAGTTTATTTTATATTCATTCTGTTAACAGCGCCATCTGTTGATGGAGCTGTGTAAGAACGATATCCGTTCACATTTAATTATTGTAATCATGTTAAATAAATCATTAGAAGTTAAGTTAAATTTATCTAAATATTTATTGTGAATATTTAGCTATATTTCATTAATTTGTTTGTAGTTATTAAATTTTATTTTGTTGTACAGGAAGTCATTTTTCTGTCAACAGATCTATATAAAACGAATGAATTTTGTAAAAAAGACTTACTTCTATACTGACTATCGTGGCAAAATAAAGTAAACTAAATCTGGAGTGTGTATTTTGTGGTGATGGATTCTCATCGCGAAAACCCTGGCGTATCGCCGACATGTACCTGACTGAGCAGTCGCGAGGTGTGCTCCGTGACGGGCAGCTTGGAGTTGCTGGCGCTGGCGAGGTGCGTCTCCAGCTGCAGGATGGCCGCGCGCTCCGCCTCCGCCCGCTCCGCCTCCCCGCTGTTAGCACTCCACTCTATACTGGGCTTGCTGGAATAAAACTTGTCGTTTAAGATATTTATTTTCTTTTAAAAACATACAAGTCACTTGACGAGAAAGATTTTTTTAGCATTTGCATTTTACACCAGTAGTCTAGTTTAATTAAACATCCATCCATCTAAACTTTCACATTTATAATATTAGCAGAGTTTTACCTACCATTAAAACTCATATTATGTCCGGAGCCTTATTCGAGGCCTTGTAAACAATATTGAGAGATGACAGTCTGTCT